CATCCATCATCTATCATCTATCCATCCATCCTTCCTTCCTCTGAGCTGAAACCACTAAGTTCAGAAAGAAAACTTCAAGAGGGAGGAGGAGGAGAGAGAGGAAGAGAAAAAGAGCAATGAGAGAGACTTTTAAAAAGTAATAGCCATGACTTGGAGGCGAGATGCTTTGCGTCAAAGAAAGAGCTCACGGGATCCAAAAGTGTTTCCGGTGAGCCCACCGAGTCTAATTACTTACAATGCTGTGACATTACTCTTCAAAGGACATGAAAAACAAGACTCCTTTCAAACGTCCATCAACTTTATGTAAGACTTAACGTGCCCAAATGATTAACGAGACGCTGGCCACATCATGGCCAAGGAAGTCTACTTCCTCCACCAGATGACAGTGAGGGATGGCCCATGATGCCCTCTGTGCTGATTATTTTGTGCTGTGAGTGCGAGTGTGAGTATTTTCCCACGAGTTATGATCTCGTACTACAGTGGATCCATTTATTAAAAATGATAGATGAAATGAAAAAACTAAGCCTAAAGATGAAAATAAATGTGATGCAGTTAGTTTCTCTCTCAGATTTAATCAATTCAAAATGTAATATTAAATTCAGGCTGATGATCATTGATGTCATATCATAGTTCTTTAGGTCGCCAGCACTCTATGAAGTTTATTAGATACACTTAACCTTACAGTGCAATACATCAAGCCTCAAAATGAATCCTTTCCTTTATGACTTCCTTATTGTACATTACTTTATTTATTTGACTATATCTTAAGATTGACATAATGACACACTGACCTGAAATAACACCTCTGATCATTTCAATTATGACTAATGATGCCTAAGTGTTGAGGTAAAAAGCAATTATTTACCAAAGTGATAATAGATTTATTTAGCTCAATACCGAGAGCTAAAAGAAATCTGATATCCCAGCTGATATTATTTTAATTACCTTTCAATCATTAACTATAAACCTAATATATCATTAGAATCCCCATTTTCTTTTACCTGAGATGTACCAAGTGGGTCATTATTGTAGGAAAATAAACCTTTCAGCAACAGTGTTGCGGAAGTTACTTAAACATTTTAATAGATACTCATTATTATATGTAATTTCTATAAGTAATCTGTGACATTAGTCTCTGCTGTGGTACACAGCTCAGTCAGGACTGCCTTATACACAACTTCACATCCTCAATGCTTATACACACGTCACATTCTGTAGATGTAGAAGCATAAAATGAAACATTAGTGATTTGAAAGTCACAGCGTTCACATACTCTCATCATCTCTGAGCAAAACCATGTGATTTCTGATTTTCTCATCAAACAAAAAGACAAACAACCTCCAAACAGAGTGTAGCTGGAAATAGGAAATGTGATGTAATGACTGAACTTGAAATTCACATGTGGAGAGCTGAAGTAGTGACACATCTGAGTGAGCATGTGTTCCACAAGTTCTTGAGTTACATCATTGGTTTCAAGGAATTAAAGGAAGCAAGTGCAAACGGTTAGCTTTCTATTGTCCAACACAAATCTGCTTCCACTATACACGTTGCTATAACATATTGAAACCTCCCTGATGTTAACAAAGTAAACAACAATTACGTCATGAGCACAGAAAAGAAACACCGCTCTCCTAAAACAACACAGCACGTGTGGCAGCACGGCTCTTTGCGTCATCGTATCTTGATTTTGTCAAAATGCATAATACTCACCCAGACTCCCCTCTAATGTTGTACTCTGAAGTTTCTTATTGTAATCTCTGCTGTCTAAAAACTTCAATCCTCTCTGTCCTGCTGCTATTACATGTCTGAGCTAATCACAACCCCCATGATCTCTGTTTAGCCTGTGAACATTTAAGGCCTGTAGTGTTCATTAAAGTCAGCTGAATAAGAAATATTAGACTGTGTTTCAAAAAACTGCCACATATCCTCAACAAGTGAAGCAAGGTACACGGCATGCTGTTGAGGAAGATAACACGATTGGATTTTTGTTATTGTTGCAAACCTCAGTGGGATTTTGAATACGATTTTTTTATATAAATGTGTGTCAATAAGGTTCAGTGTCTCGCCTGTGGACACCTCACCATGTGGACTGGATGATATGCTAGAGGACTGGGATCAAACCCCAGTCAGTTGGTGATGTGCTCCATCACCTGAGCCAGAGCAACAATATGAAGTTTGTTTAAAAAAAATAAACCTTTGTGTTTTTTTCTCCAGTTTATTCTTCTATAGGGGCTCATACAGAAGTTAATATCAGCTGACATATTGATCCATGCAGCCGATATAGTCCAATATATCCATAGTTCTACATTCTAAGACCTTAACCAGATATAAACTCAGTATTTTCCACCTCAGGTAGTCCAAGGTATAATATCATGTAAAGCAATTTTATTAAGTTTATCACAGGAGAACTAACAATAGAACAATGACTGCGTGGAATATGAGTGTCAATCACATTTTACACGACAGTCTAACCACTGCAGAGGACAAACCTAAAACCCTGTGGTCCTGATGATCTTGGTGCTTTGACACTGTAGATGAATTCCAGGCTCCAGCTCTGCAGCAGTGGAGCCTGCCCCATGTGTGGTGGTTCAGGCGCACTCTCCATTGGCTCGGGAGCGCACACGGGGGCGTTGCTTCGGACTCGGTGAGTGCTTCGGGCGCACGGGGTGTTCCAGGGATGGCTAAGGGAAAGCGTACTTGGCACAGATCCCTCCCTTCAGTATAGACTGCAGTTTACATTAGGCAGCAATTTTTTTTTTGTTGTGGTCAGGGGGATGAACGTGTCATAAGAACTAGCCGTGGTTTATAGAGGGGGTAGTGGATGCATGTTTAGCAATGCGATGAGGCCAGTGCACTTTGTGAGACTTGCGCTGCACAGAGCCTCCTCCGCGGATCCCGCGACCTGTTGCCGCTGACAAGCCGGGGGAAAGGGAGAGGGAGCACGGGGAGCTCGCTCGGCAGAGACGGAGGGTTCTTTGCCTTGGAGGGTGTCTTCGCGGAGGAAATCATGCAGTTTGCAATGTGGCTGCTTGGACTAACGTGTCATCTGTCAGCACTTGTCCGCGACACTCTGCAATACCGACTGCATCCGAAACAAGGTAGGAGTTCTGCTTCGGTTCGTGTAGAAGGTGCCTTATAGTGGTTTGCGGGGAGATGTGCAGCGGGGCTGTCAGTCTGCAGCTTCGTGTCACCTCACTGTTCTTGTGTTTTGCAGAGAGCTTCATCAAGCAGCTGTCATCGTATGAAATCATCACCCCGCTCCGACTGAACGACTTCGGGGAGTCGTTCCCCCACACGCTGCACTACAGGAGGAGGCGCAGGAGTTTGGCTCCCGTCGATGACCTGTCGGGTTTACGGGTTCTCTACAGGGTTGACGCGTTCGGGGAGCGCTTCCATCTCAACCTGACGGCGGACTCCGGCTTCATCGCCCCCTCTTACACGGTCACACACTTGGGAGCGCGACAGGGCAGCAACGACACGGACTTCCACGACCCGAGTGATATGCGCCACTGCTTTTTCCGCGGACATGTCAACGCCAAGAACGAGTACCCCGCGGTGTTCAGCCTGTGCACTGGCCTTGTGAGTATCAAACTTCATCTAAAACCCGTTGTTATAGATGATTCTGACAAGATGTGCATGCACCCCCCTCGACCTGGTGTTGTTGGACTCGTGTCTCTGCATGAGGAGGAGAGTGGACTTGCATCCTGCTACCTGTTGGGCTGATGCTGCTGTTGCTCAGTGCAGTGTGGGCATCATTCAGGGTGATGCAGTGTTAGTGGGGCCTCCACTCTGCTGAGGTGCTCATGAGCAAGAGACACTGATCAGCTGCAACTGGGTTTTGTTCTGTGGTTGATCAATGGGGAGAGTCAACCAGGCTTTTGAGTAATCACTTTATTAGGGCTATGCAATTTGGACAAAAATGATATGAAGAAAAAAGATTTCATAGCAGTGGATATGGATCATTATTATGATGTTACATTATTTATTACTTTTGAGTTCAAAGACTGATGTCGGCTCCTGAGTGAAGATTGTGGTTCTAAACTCTTCTTTATGAGCAGATAATGACGAACACGTCATAAACAGCAAAGCACCTCACTAATCTGAGGTGTTATACCTCCTCACTGTGCTTGCACAATGTATTATATCAATACATATTGAAGTGTTATATTGCTATTGATGAAAATTAGACTTACATGATTACTGAGACACCTTGCTGTTTTATTTATTTATCATTGTGCATAGAATATGTTTGGGTTTGTGTTTTAAGATGTCGCCTCTGTCAGGTTCTGAGAACTTGTGATGGGAGTTGTTTGTATAGTTTGTCACTTCTCAAAAAAAAAGTAATTGAGTCATTGAGAATAAGTAATCATCAGATGAGCTGTCAATACAAGTAATCTTCATCTGCAGCCTCCAGACGTGGTCGGTCAGTCTGAAGCAGCTGTTTGCCTGTTGATTGCTCATTATCACATCTTTTAGATCTTATGGGGCTGTAATGGAGTTATTGGGTAATAATGAGTTTACAGCCCTGTTTCCTGATCCTGAAGTCTGAGTCATTTATTTGCTGACTCCTGTATGAGACAATCTGTCTCACAAAGTGTTAAAGGCAATGACTTCATGGGTCAGATAAGGTTACTGGTCCAGGAGCAGGGGTTTGACCTAAACCGCACCAGCTGGATTCTGGTAGAATCTGAGTGGTGTGTTGGTGGTGGTGGGGTTTGGCTGGCCACTGCAACACAGACAGGAAGACCTGGAGTCTCCCTCCCTGTCATAACCTCTATCAGTGACATAATCCTTATTTTAGATAGGTGCACCGCGTACAGTACCAGGATAGCATGTCACGGAATAGGTGTCAGCTGCACTTTGAAACTTTTAGAACTAGTACATTCACATTGCATGTGGTGATTGCACTCCTTTTGAAACGTGGCGTAATGATTAAAAAGGATTGTGATTTATCTCTTAGTGGAGATAAACTTCTATTTAGTCTGCTATTTGAGAAAAGATTCCTCCACTCCAAGTGTTTGGTCGTGCTTGCGTGGCAATCTAAGACACGAGGTATGCTGGAATTATCAGGGTAATAAGCTTTTAATTGCCACACTGCTCAACTTTGATGTATGACTCGCTTATCCAAACATGTTTGCATCCTTTTTCAAGCAATCTTTGTTGCTTATCCGCATCATCACTCATTGAGAATGACAAGACAAAGGAGACAGCCCAGAGGCTATTGGGTCATAAATGTGTCCGTATCTGATCATTGGGCTTTAATGGCCAGGCACATTTTGTTGGGATGAGGTCATTTAGGAATAATTAAGCCCTAAAACAAAGGGGTCATTCTGGAAAAAAGCAGGTTCCCCTTTCGTCCAGAGTCGCTCAAAGCCATGCCCAGGGGGGAATCTGGAGGGGGTGGGGTTGAGGAGCTTTTGGCCTTTTCAAAGTGAGCTCTGATGGGCAGAAAAGGGGGCAAATGCTGTTAAGAGGAGACACATGCCAATGAAGCTATTGGGGGACTTAAGGATTGCTCAGTGTGGGAAATGTTAGTTCCTGAACAAGCTCATTCTCTCAATCCACTCGCATAATAGAAGATGTGTGTTGAGTCACTCTGTCTTGAGAAATGAGGCTGCCTTTGTTCCAGCACCAAGTGGTACAGTACCTCTGTGCAAAGATCAGGCCCATGACACCTTTATGTACTATTTAACTTGAGAGATTGACTGCAACTGTATGTTATACGTCTGCATGACTCAGCAGCAACTCCCGGATTTGAGAGGGTCTTCGTCTGATTTTATAAAACGGATGTGGGCCAGCGGTCATTTCATCCATATCATTGAGTGTGTCCCTGCCTCAAATAGAAGTTTTTCACTTGTGAAGTCCAGTTCAGAACCCACGACTGAACAGCAACAATTGTGTCTGTTCAGTGGTTTGCCAGATTTGCTGCTGAGCTAATGCTGGGAAACCCTGAAACTCTGCCCTCCTCCAAACAGAGCATTTGTCTGTTCAGCCTTCAGTCAACACCACATGAGAACCTTAGAAAGGCTCAGCTATAATTATCCAATTAAAGCTAACTGACCATAGATAGTGATTTACAAGATACAGGTAAACATCTACCAGTTGTTAGTCTGTATAAATCATTCATCACATTTTTACAGCAAGGCTGCAACATTCTCATGTTGGGTGAAAATGTAATCTTTATGCAGAAATTAAATTTTAAAAGTTTAAAATCACACAATCAGTTAAAGCAAAAACTAATGTTTTTAAACCTAAAATTGACAAAAAGTCCTTAAAGTGCTTTAAGGGAATTTGAACTTCTTCAATTCCATGACAGTGAAGCAATCCCATTCATCGACTGCTGTTTCTAAGATCAGTGATTAACTTTGAAGCTCAAAACAGTATCTTGCTATGTTTACATCTAATATCGTTCATACTACAAAATAAGATTTCTCATAGTAAGTGATTAATAATTCAGGTTATGCTCTTTTACACTGGATCAATTCTATTGTAATTTTGTGAGACACTAAACAAGTTGGAAATAGCTGTGATATTTGACCCACAAACTTAATTCTTTTTTATACTTTTGTCCTTTTTGTGAACAGTTTTTCCTCATGCATTCCAAAGATATGAAATCCATTTCAGATGCAGTTTTTAAATATACTACTGCAGTGCCTGTTCTAAACCTACTTGTTTAGCATGGGTTGTCTGCTTGGCCTGATTGTATCTTTCTTTCTGAAACTGTAAAAGTGATCCGCAGTGATTAAACCTCTGCAAGTTAGTCTACGGAGCCTGAAGCCACCACTACTGAACAAAGAGAATCGAACACATACAGCACTCAAGGCCTGTAGCACTTTCGAGGAAGTATGAGATATATGTGCAAGCCAACTAATCCTTCACTCTTTGAAAGGGGGAAGACTAAAGGTGCAGTTTGTACATGTTTTCCCTATCCGATTTGTATGTTTTCCATTGCCAAATGTCCATCAGGGAGGGTTATGGAATAATGCTGCCGTAAAGATAACATTCCAGCGTCCAATATCCTGTTTAAGTGTGCACATGAAATTACCATACAAACACCCTTGTGCCTCATGGCCAAGTGAGTTAAGTAGCTTTGTGAGGGACTGAGCTGCCAAATCAATATTAGCATTCCTCTGTCAGCAACTCTGTCCATGTAAGATGATGTCACTCCTCCCAGTGTCAGGTTGTAATGGGAAATTTGTTTTTTCACAGTTATATCTACTGCAGCTTACTGCACATTTCATGGCTCACCTGTGCGTCAATAAAAGTGTAAAAGGCTTAAAATGTCCCACAATTGTCCTTGGGTTTCAGTTTCAACAATGACTGACAGTGAACTGTTACAGGTATTCTCTGACCTTGTCTGAGTCAGCATGTTCTTTTCATGTGCAGACGTCAAAAGACAGAGCTCTTTCAAAGGCATGGAAATAATGTGCTCAGTTGTGCTCAAGGGCAAAACAGAATGACTGCAATTACACCACTAGCTCTTTAAATGAAACTATGCCCCCATGTACAAACTAAACCTGCACATATATATAGTACAGTTTGCACACAAGTGCATTCTGTCTAACACAACTAATCAACAACATCTCTGTTTTTGCTCTAGATTGGAACTTTTACAACACAACATGGTGAATATTTCTTGGAACCTCTCTTAAATGCTGCCGGAGAGGAGTATGTCGAAGAGCACAACAAACCTCATCTGGTCTATCGACATGAGAGGAAGAGGAACATCTCGGATACCGGCAACAACACAGTGCCTTGTGCTGCCTCAGGTAACAGACTATGACTGCCTAACTATCCTGTCTGTAACCACTGTCTGACTTACACCCGCAAACACTTGATCACTTGACTCTTGATGACCTGTGTTCACTTTCTCAGCCATAGCAATAAACACTGCATAAAATGTAAATTATACTCAGTCACGATCTTTGGCTTGAAGGATGCCTAATTAAGCTCCAGCACTGCCTGATGTTTTAACTTGACTTCTGCTGGAACATTCAATCCAAAGGCTGAGAGCTCATAGAGAAGGAATATTCACCTCTTAGGTCACGGTTGTGATGAAAAGAAGTGGAGAGGTGTTTCTGCTTGGGAGGCTGCTTGAAAGTTCCCCCAATATCATTTGAATTTTTATGGTAGAGGCCTTTGGATGGTGGAGAGGCCCTCAAAAGAAAGCCGGGTGACCGAGTGGAGTTCACAGCGACGGAGGGCCTTAGAGTTGTCCTGGCAGGGATCTCCGTGGGCGGCCTTTGTTGTGGGATGCAATAAATCTTTTATGTACAGGCCGCTTGATTTGCTTGTTGTCTGAACCCAGCCATTGTCGCCTGGTGGTAACCATTGTGTGTGGCGGCGGTTTAAAGAACTTGGACTGACCTGATGGGCCAGGCCAATACCCCCTTAATATGCTGTGCCCTTTCACTCACTCAGTCTGTGTGTGGTAAACAGAGGCTGAGAAATCTTGAGGGTCTCTCAGCCCCCCACTCTGAGGCACTTTTAAATATACTCTCCCCTAAGAACTGTTGGAGTGTGGGCTTGCTGAATGACCCCTGACTTCTGATGCGCCAGGAATATCCATTGTCATTCAATTATCTATATACTTTTGCCAGTTATTGTTGAATATCTACTTATCCCTTGTTGAGATACATCTTGACTTTTCACCCTAACCAATGTAGAAATTATTAATCAATGTACAATAACCAGGAACGGTAGATTTCGATTCGATTCTGATTCAGAGGGCTACTATTCGATTATTAAATGATTATCGATGCATCAAAGAATTTTATTTCTACACCTGATACATTTTTTATCACTATGTGACTACTAGAGGTGTGCGTCTTCACTAGCCTCATGATCATGCTTTACAAAACTATTTTAGACTGTTACTGTTGTAACACTTATACAAGTGTGCTGTAATTTACAAAATAAACTTTTCAATTCAAAATCCAGACTACAACAGTCGGTCTATGACAATGGTCAGTGCTCTCCACATTGATTTGATATTCATTCAGTTTTTACTTATGTGCCCGCCTGACCCCCTTGAGGCGCATTACTCCATTGGTCAACAAGAGATTCTGCTCCTCTGCTTTTTTCTAATCACTCACACTTAGAACTTAGAACTTTATAAAAACCTGCTAAATTTCATATATATGTTCCTGGGTAAACAAGGCATGGCTCCTTCTGCAACAATGACACACAACAGTGTGATAATCTGCCGGAAGTACTTCTTTCCTATCTGCAGCCTATGTGTTTGTGTCTCTGTCGCTCACAAAAACTGATAACCACATGTATTTAGTTATTAATGGATGGTGTTGCATCATGAATCTGGATTGTTCCGGTAATTTTAACCCTGATGTCCTGGCTGTGCGTGTCTCGTGTGTAGCAGATGAACTATGTGCACGCGGTGTGCACATATTTAAATACACACCTTATAGACCCTAAAGCTAATCAATAAACACAAAGTAAGCACCAGTACTGTTCAGGTCCTAATAACTTCTGATTAGTGTTGGTGTTTATTGTTAAAGTGAGCACAGGTCAGTGGGAGAGTAGAGGGAGGACACTCAGACAGGAGACTTGGTAAAAAACGAACGGTACTTTAATGTGCTGATCCTGGAGCAGCAGGACATCGCTAAAAAATAAATGTTGCGGAAAACCTGCATCAATTATTTTCTGTCTCTGCATCGATACAGAGTCATTCACGTCTACATTGCGATGCATATAAAATAAAAATGTCCCCACCTTTAATAAGGACGTGACACCTTTAGGACTTCAACAAACGACTGCAGGTAAACATTGAGCAGGAGGATTAAAATAACCAAGTTGGGTTTGCTTTAGGATTCTGAGGTCGCCCAAGCTGTTGCTCTTCAGCTCTATAAGATAGGCCCCTCTCCAGATGCAATGATAAATGGGCTCTTTGAAGGCCTCACTGAGCCAAGACTCACAACCCTGTCTTTTTATGGGAAGAAGTGCAGCACACGCTGCTACTAGCAGGTTAGATATAAACACTGGCTTAGTGTGTATGAATTCTACTTGAAAAACAGTTGCTGCTCCTGGTTATGTATTTGGACACTTGCCTCTCACGACGTATGGGTTGAATTCCTTGGGAAACTTAGTAGCTCTGTGTATCTCCACAGGACTTCCTTTCTGTCTTGAGAGGGAAAAAATTGAGAAGGAACACAGGACCACCAAGTAGAATCATTGTTAATTAGGAATTAAGACCTGGATCTTTTAGGAGCATCATATTTGGATTGCACGCTACAGTAAAGGTGATAGGGAATTTTATATTGTAAGAGGTTTCACTTCATCATTACTTTTAATTTAACTCAAAGTGGCAATCCATCTGATTAACATTTCTCAGTGGCAGATTATGAAGTGTCCCTTTCAGTATCTCCTCTTTTGAGGAGCTATAAAAGAATTCTTTGGCAGTGTTAGTAATCTCATGGTCCTCTTGCTTTTTTTTCTGAGCCTTATTTTCATTATGTTCTGAAGAGGACTCGTCTTAAATCAAAATGGGGAGTTAGACTTTGAGTGCTGAGGGGTTTGGCAGTTTTGGGACCTTGAAGAGGTTTACAGGTTTAGAGGCCTTGTGGGTCCAAACATCTGAAAATACTGAATGGCCACCAATGCCTCCAATCTGCTGGTCAGTCTCTCCTATCTGTAAAGACTTTGCTTTACAAGACTAAGTCACACTGCTGAAATTTTTTTTATCCACCCTTTTCTATGCTCTGCCTTTAAAGAAACCTTTTTTTTAAAAACTGTAGAAACATGAAACAAGCTGTGTTTTATCAAGCAGATCTCAAGGAAACAAAATGTGCATCGGCAGAAAGATACAATACCTCTGTTGGGATAAGCTTTTCCCGTAGATATGATGTCTTGTAGTAATGCCCGAGTGCAGACAGTGCCAAAAACAACTGGGACTTCTGTATCCAAATGCAGTAAGAGTTTCCAAAGTTTGTACAGTCTGTGCACACCCTTGGAAAGATGTGTTGAAAGAAAAGGAAGACCATGTTTCCACACAGATACATTTAACAGAATTTGTTTCAAATTTTGCACTTGTCTTGCCTGACATGTACAAATACATGGCTTTCTCGCACATTTGCAGTCATGACTATGAAGTGACAGAGATAGAAGTGCAATGATGAGGGCTTTTAAAGTGTTACCTTGATGGAAAATTATGTTTTGTTATTTCAGCAGTCATGACATGGCCATATACCTGTCTTCAGCTGCTTTTTCTTCACTGTGTGTGTTCATGCGCTCTTGACAAAAGCACTGCACTATCACTCTATGTGCCGTTAAATGGATCAGAGTCCAAAAAAAAATTTAAATGCACAAGTGTCAGACTAAGACTGCTAATCAGAGATACAACACTACATCAAATAATCTGGATATCTTTATTAGGCCTCAATGACTTACATTGTGACCAACTGTACAAGTTTTCCTTCTCTGTCAGCCAACCTGGGTGGCTTCCCTGCTGTTTAGAATACCTCTGGAGTAGATAACTGTTGAGTGGGTGATTAATGTTTTAAAGTCGCAGAATGGCTTGTTGTGCCTGGTTATGGCTTTTAAGAGCCTCTGGGGAAGAAGCTCAGTGAGCTCAATTCACAGCAGAGCTCAGACCCTTAATGACACATTCTATGGTATCTGTCTCCAAGCTTGCATGTGAATCCATGTGCCGTCCTTCAATAGAGATAACCACAACGATGAGGGTGGCAACAGATAGGGGAAGATTCTTCTCTAGTTCTCTTGCCTAAGCTTTCTAAAAATCCTCCTCCTTAAGACATGAGGTGGAGGGGAAAAGGAGCTGCACGCTATCTCTTTCTCACAGTCGTTGGCTGCAAGTCTCAAGCTGCAGGGTGTCATATTTTGTCTGAATTAGTAACAGTTTATTGAATAGAGACAGTGTGACAGCAAACATTACCAGCTAAAAATCCAAACATCAATGTTCCTCTGTTGGCTCCCGAGCGTTTCACACGATTCCTTGATGGCTAACTGAGGGCAGCTGGGACAGCGAAGTGACTTCCTTTGATGTGGCAATACTTGGCACACATGGCATCTGTGCCCCCTGACCCTCAACACAATCATTGTATAGGATTCCCCCCTTGGTGCCCACTGTGTATACATGGTAGTTCAAATGCTAGCATCAGGTTTTTGGTCAATGGGTTCATTTACATGGAAAAATGCCCTCCCCCGCCTGGGGTTTGAACTAGCCGACTTGAATCACTGCCCGCTCTCCCTTTGCGCTTTCATGTATGTGAATGGAAGCACTTGTTGATTGTGACCTCACTTCCCTCTTTGTTTGGATTCACTCACTGGACGGGTGGATGTGACCTTGAGATTTTCCCCTCCTAGAGGTGCGTGGTTGCTGGGTTTGCTGACTTGTTTGCAAGGACTCAGCTGGAACTATGTGTATATGCACATTAAACTTTTTGTTTTCCGCTTACTCTGACTCTGGACTGGGGGTCAGGGAAGGTGGCCAGCCAAGGTGTGATGAACTGATCAGTCAGACAACCTCTCTCACCTTTAGGCTCTGGCTTAACATGTTGTGGGTCTTATGAATGTCATATGGCTCCAAAAGGCTTAGGCCTCCTCTGTTCCCTCATGCCCCCTGGACGGACTGAGCCCTCCTCCACCAGGAAGCACCTATTGTTATTTGCCAAAAAATTTAGTTTTGGGCTTTTGTGTGCATGCAAATATGTGGTGTGCTCGTGAGGGTTTGTTTGGATCCATCAGGGTTGCACGTCAGTTGACCAAGTGTCCCACAGAGTATTAAGAATTGCTGACTGAGCAATATAGAGGAATGGAGAAAGGGGTTTCTTTCTTTATGTGTTTAAGCAATCCTGGCCTGCACTGCATGTGCCTGTCGATCTTTCTCCAGAGCTTGGCAGAGACCCCAGCCTTTTCTTGAGCTCCCACTGCCCGCCTTTCTGCTTCTACACCTGCTTCTCTAAAGTAGGTTTATCCCCCACTGCCTTGCTATTGGCCTGGATACAAAAAGGACCTGCATTTCTTTTGTCTTTTGATTGCTCTCCTGAATGGTCTTGGCATTTTCTTTGGAACACCAGGACGACGATATTAATATACTTGTCAATGAGTTGAAATGTGATTAAGCATGCACTGACTGCGGACTCTTCAGCCAACATGTTTTTAAGTGTTCCCTACAAACATGATTCTTTGTCTCATCATTGCCTCATATTTCACAACACTGCATGACAGATAGTGCAAGCAGCTAATAACATGGTCCATTGCACTCACTGTCATCTTATTTTAAGATAACAGATACTCTGGACAGGGCTGAACAGGGCTGGGCAGCTATAGACAGTCAATAACTTTAATAGCTGCCATGTGTCTGCCTGCCCCGAAGCCTCAGCCCCATTGAACTCTATGTGTTGTCTCAGGAGTTCCTGTGACAAATTCCAGCTGGGGCTATTTTCTGCCACTGTCTACTGTCTGGGCATTCTTAACAGGTGGTGGCTGATTGGAATGGTTAGCGCAACTTGAGTGACAGTGACTGACTGCATGGTGGCATGGCTGACAGTCAGAGGTGAGAGGGGGTGACGGGTGAGCGACAGTTTCCCATCGAGATGGACTGGGGAGAGGCAGTGGCCAGTGAAGCATTGGTGACATCGCCTGCGGCTCTGACTAAATCATCTCAGAGGCCAGACGTCACTCAAAACTGTAGACCTGCTTTGGCTACGTCAAGACAAAAGTATTGTTGAAACCACTGTGTCGGGGCTGAAACTTTTTTTTGTATGATTGAAAATCCAGGACATGGATGAGCATGACTAATTACTCTTATGAACTTACCAAGCTTGCTGTGTTATTTAGACTTCGTCAAATAAGGTGCTAGACATATGTAGATGAGCGTGCAAAAATGGCCAATGTCAACACTGCAAAATGTGGTGAAAACTCCAATTGAACTTATAGTGCGATTGTCCAATATCATGTAAAGATTTCTGCTTCTCAAACAGCAAACTTAAAGTTGTGTGCAGCCTTGATCAAGGTTGCTGAAGGACAACTTTCTTTAAAGCTGAGAGTGAGATGTCTTAGTTTGATCCTGACTAAAGAAAACACTCCTGGCCCCTGACTATCGTCATGAGTCCAGATCCATTAGCCGTGTTTTGTCTCCTCAAAGGGGGTCTGCTACTCCAAACACATTCTTCAGCTGACGACCATGCTGTCTTTAGCATGTCTCTGAACTGAAAATAACAACTGAACTCTGTGAGCACTGTAAGTGTACAAAGCCCACCGTCTTCCAATGAGGTCAAAAGCCATGCCACTTCACTTTTAAAAGCCTTCTTCAGCAGCAACAATTAGCTGCCTGCGCTTCTCTCTGTCTAGCCACAGAATTGCACTTAATTGTGCCTCTGTCTGCAGGAGTGTCAACATCATCCCACTCGAGTTGTACTGTCAGTAAAACTGCAGCAAGCCATGTCTGACCTCGTGTAGAACCACGGCACTACCTATACTCACTGTAAGGTATACTGTCTATTTAACTGGCACCCGGGGAAATGGGATGCTTTAACTCTCAGCAGGCCATTGTAAAAGAATGTTAATTAGTTCAACAATGAAATGTGTGTTCCCCACTGTTGAGCTCTTGGCATTGATACTTCTGACAGAGAACTGAATGAGAGTTAAAGAGCAGCTCTTTGATCTAGGCTGGACAGTCTTCATGTACATGAATGGCTTCAAACATGAAGTGCATACACAAACGTCAAAATGCTTACATAAGTTAATGTTTACGAATGAATGTGAATAAATTCTCAGCCTGTATGCACATTCAAACAAACACATCTTGAAATTTGATTAAATTTCAGCCTTGATTGTCTGAGGTATTGCCTGAGATGTGTGATCAAACATGTCATTGAATGAATACATTAACACTGTTTATAATATTCATTGTGTGTGATAATTCTTTGGCACAATGATAAAAAGGCTTTTGGGAGTTCACAAATCAAATAGGCGCTGGAGCAGAAAAGTGAATGTGGTGGGTTGGTCTGTTTTAGCTATGTGAATGCTCCAGCCAACTTCTTACACTCATGCCGTGCGGGGCTGACTTTATGAAGAACTGTTGAAGTTTAGTTTTATGGACTTGTGCTAATGAAATTTTTGTGGGTGTAAAAATAAATGTGTCACGTTTTGATGTTTGGGTAATATTGGTCCCAGAGATTTAGATGTGTTGGTGATGCTGATTTGGTGCCAAAAAGAATGATGTCATGTCTCTGTGTGTCCGGCGGTTCAGGGCAGTCACCCCTGTCTTCTCATGGTGTAAGTAGCAGCTCACTACCTAGTGAGAGGGGGATTTGAACCTAAGGCGATTTGGGAAAGGTTGTGTGTGGCTAATCTGCACTGATTCAAAGGCTATTATAACAGAGAGCACATTTTCACCTCCTTCTCATCTTTGTTTCTTTTTTCATCTCACACTCACTTGCTCTAAAATTGAACAGCAATTTCTGTGGATGTACGTACATACTCTACTGTGGTTTGATAATCCCTTTGATGTCAGACTGTCTGCAGTGATGAGTCTGTTTAAAGGGGTTTAGCAGAGTGGGTTTGGCTTTGCAGAGATTTTTCCTGGAAAATACAAAGCTCTGTTCTGGCCCAGCCGCCTGGGCAGTGTGCACGGGCACAGACAGGCTTGGCCCTGGCTTGGATGTTGGCGCTGGCATGGGGCTGGGCCTCATGGCGTCAAGAGTTGTTTGCCATTGTGCCAGGGAGTCACGCTCCGCCTTGTGTCCCCACTGGGGGCATCGCTTGAATAATCTCGGGAGTGCTCAACGGGTTGTCCTTCTTTTTTTTGCTTCGCTCTGACCTAACACTTCCACACAATCTCTCTCTGTCTGGCTGTCTGGAAAGATTGAGTGTTTAGAAGACAAAGAAACTCTTCTCCATAATCGTGTTATCCAAAGCTGAGGAGGTTGTTTAGGATGAAGGACTCCAAACAATGCTTGGCTTATAAACACTCAGTCGTTTAATTACTGAAAGGTATTTGATGTTAAATTTATATTAATATTTTGTCTTGATTGTCAATTTTTGTAAGACTTTTTTAGCGTAACATAATAGACTATATGTGAACTAGAATGGCACTCAGTAGACCTCATGCCTCCACCAAGGCCACACAGTCCCCTTAAATTAAATCCAGCTGCACCACATATTAAAATCTGTTGTGTTAATTTTCCATTCTCCATCACTTAACTTCTCCAAGCAGCCCCTTCTTACATATGGCTGCATCAGTCCAAATCTGGCTGCACTTGGCCCTCACATGTCCAGTTAAAACACATAAAGCTGTGGGTATCATCCCACTGCCATAATATTATTGATTTAATATTAATAATATTAAGACCATACTTGCTGGACAATTGCAGACATACATTTTACCCCCCCACCAAACAACTTGGCTATTTAATCATTAGGTTCTATTCACCCTCTCCTCCTGCTCAAGCTCTTTTTCCAAACTCTGTCAGATGAAACATCCACGTGGACCAACATCATGTTCGTGTAATTTCGCTTGCATCAGACTTCCCCTCTGCAGATTCCTCTTTTTTTCCACCCAATAAAACAGGCTCTTCACACTTTCTAGTCTGTGTCTGTGTTTCTTCTTCTGTCTACCTCTTTCCACTTCACTCGGTCATGGTGAAAAAATCTCTTAACTCATAGCCAGCTCGACACGTGCAGTTCAGTTGAGAGAATTCCAGTTGAATATGAACAATATATGGCTGTCATTTCTTTTTTTCTCTCTAAGGCTGTTGCTTAAGGCATTCACCATGAATCTGTAAAAGGAGTTATTTCAATCTGTTTGTTCAATACTTTCGATTTATTGCCTTGCGGTGTAGTTTTCTACATTTCTGACAATTTTCAGATAACATAATGACCCGGGTCACAAAGTGGAATCATTGAGTATCTCCTTGTTGAGTATATACTGCGGATAGTCCCTCTGTGTGTTGGTAAAATGCCGTCATGGGATTTCCTCTGTTTGTATGGATTGCACTCTGGCAGCAGGGAGTGCGGATTGCCTGACCTGAAAACTCCACAGCTCACAAGTGACCCTGTGTTTTCCAGCGTGCCTATGTTGTGCCAGTACAAGCAAATCAGCCACACTAAAACCCTTGGCCCTTAACTGCAGATGAAATGCCCTCTCTCATGATTGATGATATAAAGTGGAATCCAGTGTTCAATTCAGGCATGGTGGTGGAGTGGTAAGGAATGTTGCCTTACAGCATCACAGGTACCCAGGCTTCCTCCCACAGTCCAAAGACAAGCAGAATGGGGTTAGGTTAGATATAGACTTTGAATGTGAGAGTTGTTTGTCTTCTTATTGTTGGACTCACATGTATACATACATTGGAAGTTGAGCAGAGGTGAAACTTGTGTGTCTCAGCTGGCATTGTTCAATTGGTTGTGGATTTTATTTTCTGCTTTCTTCTTCCACCGTATGTCAGACCTGTGATGGGCTGGCAACCTATCCAGGGTGCATCCAGCCCAATGTCAGCTGAGATTAGGAAATTCAGGCATGGTCCAGAATTTGAAATGCTGGTGAATCAGTTGCAGCTTTCAATCTAACTCCACATATCTTTTTTTCCTTTTTTCCGCAAACAGAGGACTCCCAGGGGTCAGTCTCGTTTGCGAGCAGAGGGAATATGGGAGAGGAGCTGGACTCTCTGAGAGTGACAATAGAAGACCAGCACTTGAATGAAAACAACTCCACCGGCGCACATCCCAGATCCCCACGAAGACACAAGCGTTTCCTCTCCTATCCCCGCTACGTTGAGCTGATGGTGACAGCAGATGCCAAAATGGTCCGTCATCATGGGCGCAACCTAGAGCACTACATCCTTACAATCATGTCAGTAGTAAGTAAAATAAAAATTATTATTTTGTCTTAATGTGGAAAATTTTGTTTTTGTGATTTTGTGGTTTTGGCTTATCTTCTTGATTAAAAGTTTGATTGAAAGTCTAGGCGCTAGCTGCTTGATGACACAGTGGCTGCTTGCAGGGATACTTCAATTGACCACAGTTGACTTTACATCAAATGTTTTAGAACTGCACATTTTATTTACCATTTTCAATGCAACAGGACCTCTGTGGTTAACGTAAAGCTGAAAAATTCAACTCAAAAATGGTCCCAGGTACTGTGACGAGTTAACAGACTGCCAACTTTAATTGGAACTACCCTTGATAAAAGAAATAATCCAGAGGTCTGTCTTTTTGAATACAGATCTAAATAGTTATATTTAGCTTTATTATATTGGTTTTACTATTATCTCAAAGACAGACACCTCAAAACCTGGATCAAATCAACCAAAACTACGGCAAGAAAAGGGATGAAGGAAGAGTGTATTTTTTATGATCACATCCACGAACAGAATCCTGCAGTCCAGGTCTCTGTGATAATAGCTGTGATTGTTAGTGTTTTACATTTTGGTTTGAAACCCTGGTATGACCTCAGAGAGCAGTTGCATCAGCCTAAGTGGTCCAGTTAAATGTGAAATTCCTGACTCAGCAGTTTGAGTTCTTTATGAGTCCCACATCTGTCTGGGAGAGCTGACAGTCAATCAATCCAGTGAATGACTCTGATTGACTTCCTGTGTATGTATTAAAGTAACTGTGTTGGTGGATGTCTGTGTCAAAGCTGGACAGGTTATTAGATTTACTGAACTGTGTGCACTCTCTGTCGTCTCTCTGCCTGAACCCTGTACAAAACTCATTAACTTATAAAGGAGTAATGATTGTCAGTGGACTGTTATCCTTAAGGGGAGGCTGATAGTGTAAAGTCAGTGTTAAAAACCAAAGTGCCGGGCCTGTTTTATTGCTAGGTTGCTAAGTCAGAACATTAGGTCTGTCGTGCTCATGTCTGCAGACCAGTGGTGCTGGTGGACCACGTTATTTCCGTCCAGTTTACATTGACTGTCAGTCACTTTACCATATCAGTCATAATATGACAATTTTAAGCAGAATAGAGAAATATTCCAAGTTTGATTCATTGTGTTTGATCTGAAGTAAGATTTTATGCTCATGAAGGGACGTTAGACACTGATCAGCCGCAACATTAAATCCAGTCCCTGGAGGTAAACAAAACTTTGATGACCTCAGTCCTTTTAAAATCTTTGCAACAGTAACACAAACACAAATACCTTTCATTGGTCTGTAAACTGTCTACCAGTTATTAGTTTTAACAAACAATTTTCTAATATTGATATAGCCTTAAAATCTTCACACTTAATGTGTGTGTAATCAAACTATGCTCATTGACATTTCATCTAAATCCAGAAAGTCCCAGAACTATTACAGAGAGTAATGTCAGCCCTGCTATTTCTTTCTGCCTTCAAAGCTTGTTTTTGGCTGACTGGCTCTATGAGATACTGAGGTGATGGCCTATTACAGGCTGCAGTCCCTCCTCACGTCTGTTTTTTGCTCTAAACATACAACAACACACACTGGGCAATAGCGTACAAAGGATGGTCCTGCGTCACAGTTGGACTAAGAGCAAGCAAAGACAGATCCCTTTGCCCACTCTGGACAGGCCTGGGCCACGTTTGCCTCCCCCCAGGCTAAGACAAGCTAAATGTTTATAATGGACTAATGAGTTCCTGTTAGGAGGCTGCACACGGCCTCAGGAGACCGCTGGCTGACCGTGACAGGAGTGCACGAGAAAAGCAGGAGGAGTGGAGAGGAGCAACTGCAGAGAGAATGTTTTGCTATCCTCACAGAGGGCTCTGATCTTCAGTTTTGCTGAAGCTTCACATTTGTTGTTGGGTCCAGATTTTAGTTTATATTTCCTTTGCTAAGGTCTGTGGAGGGATTGTAATTGGTTTTAATACCCTGTTGATTAAACTTACCGTGAAGGAGACTTTTTTTCATTTTGACTTCACTGCGCTGTTGCTGTTTTGATCAAACCCCATGGAGCTTAACCATAAAAGCAATAGCCGTATTCCCTCTTTCCAAGCACTGGTTAAGAAAAGTAGACTAGTTTTACAATATCTATCTCTGCTCTGGTTGAGGTTGGTGCAAGTTTGCATTTTTTTGTCTGTGTTTTGTCTTTGTTACAGGTAGCAGCAGTGTACAGGGATCCCAGCGTAGGAAACCTAATCAACATCATGATTGTCAAGCTCGTCATCGTTCACAATGAACAGGTGAGTGCAGGACATTGAATTCTACCTGTATCCAGGTCTCAAAGATGTCTGACGTCAGTGCAGGTGTTCGTGGCCTGGCCTTTTCTCTGTGGGGCCTGTTTGAAAGGACACTATCAACCTTGTCAGTCTCAAGTCTCAAGAGAGGTCTCCTTGGAAAACAAACAGTACTATAGTGAGGCAGGGTGCCACCTGCAAATGAGATGTGGCTGAAGAGACTCACTGTAGTTGTGTGATTGATTCCTGAACAGTTATATTTAATTCATAGTATTTTCCAACCTAATTATATTTCACATATTTATATACAGTACCATATAAACATTTTACTCAACACCTTGGTATTAGAACAGATGATGGGGGTAAAGAGCTCGATTTATCAAAGGGAGTTGTATGGTTGTTCAGTTGGTAGCACTGCCGCTTCACAGCAAGAACATTCATGTTCACATTCACTCGTCCCACGTCCAAAGACGTGCAGTGGTTGGTTAAGTGGAGATGATGAATTGACCATAGTTGTGAATGTGAGCGGGAATGGTTGTTTGTTACTATATGTTGGAGCTGCGATACACTAGCGACCTGTTCGAGGTGTATCATGCCTCTTACCCAGTGTCAGCTGGGATTGGCTCCAGCCACTCCAAAAACCTCAAAGGATAACTGCGATAGATGATAGATGGATGGATTAGTTCGTCAAGAAAAACCATCATGTTGACTAGTGCATATGTAAACATGTCAGAGTAGATATACCCACTGGGTTATCTGAAATCTCCAGCTGTTCTTAGGGGTCTTTGTGCAAGAGGTATGTCATAATGTACCCTTGGATTTATATGGGAATACAATATTTACATACTTAAAAACTAAAGGCTGACGTTGTTAATCTAAAATCGTGTGGAAAGCTGTTTACAAATCTTAACCCTTAACTTATGTAATTCCTGCCAGAGTCATAGCGGACAAATGCAGGGTACAGTATCCTTCTAAATATGAGATTGTTAAGATATACTATTAAATTATCATGTGTATACCCAGTTTCTTGGTTACATCCCCATTGGTGTTTCAACCCAAACAGGAAGGGCCAACAGTGAGCTTCAACGCTGCCACGACTCTCCACAACTTCTGTGTTTGGCAGCAGACCCAAAATGTCCAGGATGACAGCCATCCCTCTCACCATGACACAGCACTTCTCATCACCAGGTTCAACCTCTCCTTTTCCTCACTTTGAAAGCAAAACCAAATTTCTTAAGGGAATTTTCCTCTTCAACAACTGTTAACATCATTGTATATTTTTTGTGTTCTTTTTTTTAGAGAAGACATCTGCCGTGCGAAAGACAAATGTGACACGTTAGGTAAACTATTGCAAAAATACCTTCACCTCAGTTCTCTTTCAATTAACTTTCCACCCCATTAACCGCAGGCCATAAACTGTGCAGTAATGAGTTTATGGCAAGCTGTCAGCTAATAATATTATAGTGACAGAACAGAGTGGTAGAGTGGGGAGAAGGGAGGGAGTCGATGTCGGGGCTAATCTCTCTTACAAAACAGAAATTTGGATGGTTTAATCGCCTTTAACACTCGAGCAGCATTTTTCTTTTTCAAGTAGCACTATGCTGTACGTGTTTATGTGCATCTGTGTGTTTGACTCAATGTGTGTACGTGACCTCTTAGGGCTTGCGGAGCTGGGGACCATGTGCGACCAGTACCGGAGCTGCTCCATCAGTGAGGAAAATGGAATTAGTGCCTCCTTCACCATCGCTCATGAGCTTGGCCATGTGTAAGTTGCTGCACAGATCTTGTAGCAACCCTGCCCCCCACCCTTCTCACACACACGTACACACACAAACCCTATCTCACCACTCGCAGCCAGACCTGACCAACAAAAGCCCTCTTATCATGGAACGTAGGGCGCAGCGGACACAGGTGCAAAACATAATAAAGTAAGAACTTGGATTTCTAATAACATGCCAGCCTATATTACTTTTCTTTAGAGCAAAGTTAACCCTGTATTCGTCCGAGCTGTGTCTGGAGAGGTGGGACTATCCTGATCATTTTAAACAAGACATATTGTGCTGTGATCATTTTTATTTGGGTTATTACGTAAAATGTGCCAATGTTCAGAAAATCATCACTTTTCTAATTCTGTCAGTTGCTGCAGCTCCTCTTTTCAGCCTCTGTCTGAAACATTTGGCTTCCCAAGAAAGGCATGTCTGTTCTGATTGGACAGCTGGCCCACTCTGTTGTGATTGGTCAACCGCTTCAAGAGCATGTCGGATATATCGGACACTGCTCTTGCTTTACCTGGCTTTGTTAGGAGCTAGTGGAGTAGCTGCTTGATGGGCATTATGCAAATACGGGGCTTCGTCACTTGAAATCACTATGTTGTGTAAGTATCAGACTCAGAGCTCCAGGAGCAGTATTGTCTGTAAGGGTGAGGAGCTCTCTTTATCACAGACTTTGTTTTTTTTTCTACATTGCCACATACACAGAGCTTTATCAGAGAGTACAAGACCAAATGTACTTGCAAGCATTTGGAAAATGTTCAATATTTGGAAAGACTTGATCCTCTCCTGCTTTGAAATATCAGCAACCAACGACTGATAAAAGAAGCTGAAGATGTGACAGCCTCGTCATATTTAACTTCTTCGTCTGTTAGTAAAGCAGTGTTATCACAACATGCTACTCTGCCAGACAGTGTTTTCACAACAAGCTAATACTGCCACATGTATGATGTGAAAAAAAACAACCTTGCATGAGTAATCTTAAACACGTAATCATAAACACATGACTTTATCTGTCATATGAGGCTTTGTTTATTCTAAACATCAATCTGAGGTAAAACTGTCATAAATCCGTCACTGCGGCCTCTTTCTAGTCTTGTAGTTCAGTGGATTTCATTAAGATGTAATTTTAGAAGCATGATTAGCATCAGATCTAAAGTCTTTCTTTCTTTGAACACCTTTTCTTTCGTCTCTGCCAGCTCACTTGTGGGCAAATTCTTAAAGCCAGACAAAGCACCCATCAGTTTTTTTCTGTCCTTTCCTCATGCCCACCTCCCTCATAGAGCGTAACTGTGAAAGTGAGTGACAGATTTTCTTTCCGGTCTGCCTCTCTGTTTTTGTGGATGATAAAGAGGAGCAGTGTCAGTGTGAGCTTTTGAGCCATTTGGGGTAAGAATGAAAGATATTCTTCTTCCTCCTCCTCACGCTCACACATTCTTCCAGTGCAGAGCAGCCAGATGGACGAGTCTCTGGGCCGTCTTCCCCTTGCGTCTCGTGTGTATCTGTTTATGCTAAAGTTCAAGCAGCTGGAGGCTCAGTTGGTGCTGCCTCCTGGTGTGGTTAATCGCTGCATTCACAGGCACGAGCTCTCCGGGGTGTTTAGTGCTCTGGGAAAGCCGGTGTCAGGTAGTGGGAGCCACTCTAGAGTGTTGCAGATTAAAGAACGATTTAGACTAAAGGATAGGAGGCCTTTCTCGGATGGCCGCAATAGCCATCATGGGGATTTTAGGGCGAGTCAGTTTCACTTAATAGCCATTCAAAAGTGACACATACAAGGATTTATCAAGTTTGTCATCTGATGACACCAAGGCTTCAAGTGACTTAGATGACAAACAAATCCTTCTGACAGTTTGATCCGTCATTAGAGAATTATAGAGCTACCAAGGGACAGAGGAAAATGACAGGCTACACCACAGAACTTCACCTGCATTGTTCCGATCACTCATATTCCATCAGCAAGCTCGAGGGACAAAGTGACTGGGCCTGTCAAAGAAGGTTTCTTTTGTTGCTAAATCCACCTGAAGCAGCAAACTGGTGAAATCCACTGACAATGCAAAAATCGTATGCTTTTTATCGCCAATCTGCAGAAACTCAGGTTGTCATCGTTCCAACAAGTGTATCTCTTTATGTTATTTATGAGCCTTTCAGCAGAAATCTGTTTATGTCTTGCTGAAAATCGCCATGGCAGCATGGCATTAAGATTGCGATCTGGAAAGAGCAAAGCAGTTCATTTTCTTAAGAGCTTTTAATAAAAGCAAGGGAACTTTAAAAGGATGACATTCTGGATGCCAATAAGTTTGTGCCAGAGGTGATACACTCCCTTTGTCATTGACTCCTTTATCGATCTGTCCCCTGAGGTTGTGAAGAGGAGAGTCACAAAACTGCCTGATTTATAAGCTAATTACACTAAAAGCCTCTCATCTCAGGATTTCAAGCCAGCATCTCCATTAGTGTTCCTCAGACCTGATTAAACTAAGGCTACATCCATAATACTATGCTTTGAAAATGCATCAGCTCTGCTATGGATACATCTGGCGTCAACACTACAACGAAGTTTTAAAGCCACTAAAACTTTTGGAAACGCTGCTGCCCACATTTTACTTTGAAAACTCTGGAGCTGCATTTGAGTCTGTATGGGCCGATTCAGAGATGTTTGGAAATGATGAGGAAGTCACACAACTGTTTGCTGGTCTTTTCGGTCATGACGTAGCCTTCACTTAATTATCAGGCTCCTATCACATGACCCTCTTCTGGAAGAAACAACCAGCATTAGCCTCGGCTACCAGTGTAGAATGCAACATGGATAATTTATTACTAGTGCTGCTAACCCTGTTGTCTTTGCAAACAGCGGTTGTACAATATGATACAACTGATTACATGTGTACCCATTGCTGCTTCCAGCATGCACATGTCCACTATACATGAGTGGTAACGTGATATGTGTTATGTGTTCATAGTTATGTTTGATATATGTATGGACAGGGATAAAAACTGACATGAAGCTAAAACGCTTGTGTGGATTTCGCTTGGAAAACGTGTTTTCAAACTAAATCCTAGTAGTATGGTTGTAGCCTAAATCAGCGTAATGTGTTAAGAGAGCTGTTTTTGGAGATTGTCTCAAATCCATTTCATGTTGCAGCAAAGGATTGAGCGGTTTGTTTTTATTTATCTGCCTGTGACTCTCTGCATCACCTTGATGCACCTGTCCGCCATCATAAGCGAGAGAAAATAGTTTGCAAAGACCATTTGAGCCAGATTAGCTATTGTCAGCATGAGGCAGCAGCCTGGGTTTGTGTGTTCAGAGCTCATTACTGTGCCAGAGGCTTAATTATGTTCAGGGTGTTTTCCTTCAGGCCCTCAGCCCCTGTAGGGTGGGCCTCATGCCAGCCATGCTAAGTCTTGTTTGTGTGGTGGTATGGATTGACCCTAAGCCACAGGCCTGGAGAACAGCACTGGCCCACATCCTGTTGTAAACACCTCGGACATCATGCAGCTGCATGGGTTCCTGCGTGTATAAATACACATGCTCGCATTTGTGCAGGCACCGCATGTATCCATGAACGTGTGCCAAACCGCAGCACAAAACAGGACATCCACACTGGACTGCACTCTTCCTCTGGACACGATCAAGAAAAGCGCTGACTGTGGACTTCCTGGAGTAACTCATTAATTTGCAAATGCCATGCTGTGTTCCCCACTTTATACAGTTGTTCTTACTGTGAGTGTATAATGCCTGATGTCAAACAATTAGTTGATTAATTGTTTATGGAAGCAAATGAAAATTAACTTTGATAATCGTTTAAGATTTTTAGTCATTCATTAGGAAAAAATGCCTGATCTGTTTTACGTCAGTGCAGGTTTCATATTTGACTTCCAGGGAATCCAAGGAATCTGAATATATCACAGTGACAGATGATAATTAAAATAATCATCAGTTGCAACTCTAAAAACATTTGTGTTCTTATGTGATGTGTAGGTTGTACACACATGTGGTGTCACTGCCCCTGCCCTTCTCTCAGCTTTAAGCCCTTTGAGAATGTGAGATGGTGATCTCTCACCTCCAAGTGGTGAGCTAGAGATGATTCTCTCTAACTTGTTGGCTGTGATGGTGGAGACAATAGATGCTGATTGATGGCGAGTGATGTTTTACAACACAGCCTACTCGCCATTAGAAGGTTTACAGAAGCCTTTTGGAGGATTTGACTGTATAAATGTTTGGGAGATAGAGCAGAGGGGTGTGTAGGTAAAATGATGTGCAGCAGCCAAGATCGTGCAGGGTGATCCCCTGTTAAAAATGGCTGAACTTAAATCTTGTGACATTTATCCTTCTTGCTATGACTGAGCCACTAAGCAGCTGATAATCACTTTGTGTGTGTTCCTTATATCCCTTTTTTCATCTCTAATGCCCCCTTTTTCTTTTTCTCCCTCTTTGCACCAGGTTCAACATGCCCCACGATGACAATCCAAAATGTCGAGAGGCTGGCATGAAGCACCAGTACCACGTCATGGCTCCCACCCTCAACTACGACACCAATCCCTGGTCGTGGTCGAAGTGCAGTCGCAAGTACATCACTGAGTTTTTAGAGTGAGTACTGTCACCTCTTCTTGCCAATTGTAAACAGTTTATCCTTTGAAGGGTTTTTGGGGGAGATGGAGCCAATCCCAGCTGATATCGAATGAGAGTTGGGTTTATCACTGAACAGGTTGCTTGCAGGGCCAACATATAGAGACAAACAACATTCACACTCACTGTCAGTTTTGTCTCCAATTAACTTAACCCCAATCTACATGTCTTATGGCTGTGGGAGGAGCTGAACTACCTGTAGAAAGCCCACGCCGAAACAGAAAGACCATGGCTGAACCAGGATTCAAACGGGGGACCTTCTTGCTGGGAAGGGATTTTGGCTCTTCTTCTTTTTAATCTCATACAATCCCTTTTCACATTTTAAGAGTGTCATTAACTTACTTTACTTGTTGTGACATGGCCAGCTAAACAAAGTTATTCTACATCTCTCGCAGTGCTCTGTAGACAGGTCAGTGCAATGTAAACTATGTGGAGTTGTTATTGCCTGGTGTTGAAAGACTGTTTCCTGTTTGAATCCCGGGGTCTTCCTTGGCTGACCTGAGCGATACATCTCCAGCAGCCCCTCAGCTGTCTCCCTGCTCAGGCTGAGTCCTGCTCCCAAGATGCTGCGCAAATAGTAATCTAGTCACTTTAGCTTGCTTTTCACACCAGCTCTTAACCCAGCACCATGGTCACTGATCCTGGTGAAGGGCTTCCTTCAAGATGGGAAATGTCAGTTATAATTAGATCTTCCCTGGACCTGACCCTTTAATCTTTGCCTCCTTTCCTCTGTTAATTGTGGAGGCCTTCACAATGGACAGCCTTGTGGTCCAGATGCATCTCGAGGGCTCAGTGTTTGGCGACGCCTCTTATGGAGTTTTAAGGCTGTGCTCTGCATAGTTTCCAGTGATGATCTCAACGTTCAGCAGTTGGAACATTTGGCTAAATGTGAGGACAGTCTTCATGAATGTATTTATTATCAGGACTGGTTCGGTATACGCAGTGTTGGGTTTCTGTGTGTAGCAGATTACCGCTCAAACACCAAGAGAAGTAAATGTCAAATATCTTTGTGATAAACTTTAACATACATGATATTTAAAAAACAATGCAGGTATAGTGAAAGTGAAGGAGCACTTGGCTCAAGTGTGGGAGCCACAGCGGTGGGAAAGGCCCTCGAGACCAAAGTCTAAGTGCTTTTGAAGTCCGTCTCCAGTCAACAATGAGAAGCATTGATTCAATCTCACACTACAGTACCACTCCTGCTCAGTGGGCTGACCTGGTCAAGTACGTCAGTGTTTTGACTGCCCATTTTCTCCTGAAGAGCAAATTCAATCTCCACCACTCACCTACCAGTTTGAAAAAGAGAAAGGCGAAGGACCCCCCACCCCCCACCCCATTATCTCACTGTTGCTGTAATAATGTGAACACTGAACTCCCGCACCTGAAGGCTGATGATAAGCGTCCCGCTGTTGTGCAGTGTTATTATGCATCAACCCGCTACATAAAGCAGCTATTCATTCTCTCCCTGGCTCCGTGCCGTTTGATTTAAGCCTCAAAATCCAAAACTTAAAGTAAAATGCTAATTTTTGACTGTTGCCAACCACTAATTGTTGTGTTTGCCCCTTCTGTCTGAAGCCGCGTGATCATAAGAAGGAGCCCAGCCCTGTCATTTTCCATTACTCACCTCAGAATTTAGCCTAACCACTCTTGAAAACACTAATGTAAACATTTCTTCGAAAATGTTTCTGTAGTATGTCACTTCAAATTCAAAGAGACCTCTGTCATTATCTTATATATATCATATATCTTGATGTATAGTAAAGGTTACAGGGCATCAGAGACAAGCTCTTATATGACAGCATACTGCAGTTTATTTGCTGCTGTTTGATCAAACAAATCAAGCACTGCTGCATGTCACTCAAAAACCATAGCCCAGTATATTAAACATTGAAACGATTCTTTCTTCTTTTCTGACAAGCACGCTTCAGCCAAATATATGTCATCTTATAAATCAAGTCTCTTTCGTGTTTTTTTTTTCATCGTAGTAGTGGTAGACACCACAGAGACCACCTCTCCATCCTCTGTCTGTCTTGGTCTTAATAATCATTCCATTAGGTTCCAGGAGACTGATTGGACAGATGACCAACTGCTGACAGACGCTGTGATATAGGAGTGTCTGTGTGATTCCTTGAAAGGTTCCTCCACAGTCATTCATAGTATTTTTTGCTGCTGATTCATTCTTGTCATGCAGTCATCCCCTTGAAAGCCAGTGCTGTTTGCAACAGTCTCTTACATCACAGCTACAAATGAAAGGGGAAAGAAACAAAGTGACGGTAACTCAGGATAATCCTGTGTAATGTTGTGTCCTCCCACATCAGCTGTATGTGTATGGTGCAGGTGCTTTAGCAGCTCAATCCAGGATGAGATTTGTCAGTGCAGTGCAGACACATTGTGTAATGACACATCTATTCATGCCTCAACTTCCAGTTTCCTTTTTTTCAAAAGTAAACAAGAAAGAAGAGATCCTTTGAGGCTCAGCACGCTCTGCTTGCATGTTTGTGTAGTGCCTTTTCACGTCTGTAAAGGCAGATACGTTTATATGTGGAGTGTCTGCACTTACATTTAGTCCAGCTGTGTTTTTATTCTCTCAGTTTTTGTGTCATGAATCAGGGTGTGGCTGACGTACAGCACAATCTCTCATTATTCATTGCATTGAAGTGTAAGTTAATCAAGGGGCTTTATGATTCCAGAGGAATATACCTGGATTAAAAATGTGGTCAGCACGAAGATCCTCTTCAGACTGTATCAGTTCTGTTTTATTCAGTTTGTGGCACCTGACACCAGTTTCACAGCTTGAAACAAGCACAGCATTTACTAACAGGCCATCGAGGGCAAGTGGTATCAGTCTCCCTGTTAGGTAACTCTACAGACCACCCACAGGGGAAAACACATCTGAGGATGATCACAGACAATAACACTGAGATGTTTACTTTGTTACTTATGAAAGAGATGACACATGTTGATACTTTTTGGGGTCAGATCATGCTGGATTATCCTGGGAATTTTCATACCATGATGACATATGTGTGTGCATGGTGCATGTATGTGTTTGTAAATAGACTTGTGTGGTTTTTGTATTCTCTTTTCATTTAAAGTACACACATTCTTACAATTTCTTTCTTCTAGCACCGGCTACGGAGAGTGCCTCCTCGATGAGCCGGTAGGCAGAACGTACGAGCTGCCCACCCTCCTCCCTGGTCAAATATACAATGCCAACAGACAGTGTGAACTGATGTTTGGACCCGGTTCTCAAATTTGCCCCTACATGGTAAGTTGGCTTGCTATCAAAGCAGAACCACACTGAAAAAGTGAAGATGTAAGACTTCAAGTGGAAGTAGAGAACCTTCATGAACTGTCAGCAAAGCAGTTTCTTGTAGGTCAGAAAATATCCTAAAAAAAAGGAAATTTAAATCAGTTGATTGTGTGCAGTTTATTATAATATAGTGTGGATTGGTTTCAGTAAATTCCCATGCCTAATGTAAATACAAACAGGCAGATTATCTCAGCCTGTTGTTGACTGCACAGCCATTAATTACAACCCGATGCTGAGGCATTGAAAATGCACATGTGTGGGAACCAGTGATGCACAAAGGAAAGTGTCAGTTCATGGCTACTTGGACTAAAAAAAATATTAAACATAACATAAGAATGTGATTAAACCAATACACATATTTTGGAGCTGCAATCACGCACACTTCCTTCCACAAGAAAGAAAGCAATATGTTTACTCTTAAATTCTGCAGTGGGCCTAATAAAAGTCACAGATTCATTTCACACATTTTGTCTGTACAATGTTCTCACATTATAGACACGCTTGTTTCCTAATCAGCCACAAAAATGATTAATGCAAGTGCATGCTTTTTTCCCCTCTGCAGAAACAGTGCAAGAGGCTGTGGTGTACGAGCGCAGAGGGGGACCACAAAGGATGCCGCACGCAGCACATGCCACTGGCTGATGGGACCGACTGTGGCCATGGAATGGTAAGTTGATCCACATGTGGATCTGTGCTGCTTAATGAACGGAGACATAAGAACTTGATTCCCTATACTATAACAGTACAACAGTAACCTCATTATTGACGCACATGTTTTGCTTAGAATGACACTTACTGTGGATGTTGGAGACGTGTTTGTTAGCTGAAGGTCTCAAAACAGCAACAATCAAGTTGTTGGATCCTGTTATTAGAATGAGACAGTTTGGTGAATGACAATAGATCCCTTTGAGAGCAAAGTGAAAACTGAGAGACTAACACGGTTGACCTGTCAGACCTCTATACTATATATAAGTCAATCACTGAATATTGTGCAATGTACAAAACTCTTTAAACTCTTGCATAACGAGATGTGTATGTGCATATATCTAATTTTCGAGGATATCCTTTAAACGAAAACTAGGATACAAATACAACAGCTTTACATACACTTAAAAAATGTATCAAAGAAAAAGTCCATCCATTATCTATACCCCTTATAGACCTATATCTCTGAGTGTTATGGGGGGAGCTGGAGCCAATCCCATCTGACAGTTGGTGAGAGGCGGACTACAATCTGAATAGGTCACCTGTGTATCGCCTTCCACACCTATAGTCAAACTAGTCTCCAATTATAAGAAACTATTGGCATGTCTTTGGGCTGTGGGAGGAAGCCAGCGTACCTAATGAAAACGCACTCAGACATGGGGAGAACATAACATGGAGAACAGAAAGTCACACCAGGAAACTAAATGCTGGGAGGCGACTGTATTGAGATGAGAAAATAAAGAACTGAAGCAATGGAAAGAGGATCTCAAAAGAGCGATTATTCCAATCAGAGGGAGCTTTGTATTTGAATGATATTTCCAATTTCTAATATACGTATGTAAAATGCTTCTCGCATAAGAAACTCCTAATCCCCTTTTTGAGGTAGTGTTTAATTGGATACCACAATGAATTATCCTGATGCAGAATCACCTGCTATTTGATGCAGTGTAAGAAAAACATGATGAATTATTTCCAGCTTCCATGAAACCAGAACAACATATTGCAAAACTGAATATGTTTCCTCCTGTTCCACAATCACCATAGTTATGAAAGCTCGTCTCATTACAGTTTAGTTATTAGAATTTGAAATACCTCCCATGCAGCACTGCTTTGAATCCTGATGCCTTCCCCCTCCAGTTCACTTCCTCTGCCAAGAGAAAGGAATAATTTATCATGCATTACTCTGCTGCCTGCATCCTGGTTGCAGAAACCCATGTAAATGTGGTCAGGTGATGGCCTTAGTTAGAAACTTGAAGCTTTACCCTTGGTGTTGTTATGGGGCCCCAACCCCCATTAGCCTTCATGTTCTCCTCGCTCTGGGATGCTATGCTAATTAGGGCTGAGACGGCGGGTCAGTCTCTGAGGATACATGGGGAGAAGGGCTGCACGGGAGGGGGGCGGAAAGAGAAAGAGAGAAAGAAGAAAGAAAAGACAGATAGAGGGAGCAAAAATAGAGGGAGAGAGATTCTTGAGAGGGAAAAGGTGAAGACATAGGCTCTTTGAAAGAGGATGCCGCCCGCCGTTCACAGTTGAGTCACCTTGTTGTGAACCCGTGACCCTAAAACCTCTTTAAAAGGCGGGTGAGTGGGTCAGTGGTCAGGCCGTAACAGAGCCCAGGCTGAGGCCAGCCAGCACTCTCACAAAAGACTTCACATCAGTGATTCTGAAGGGCAGGAGGTGGGAGGAGAGGAGGGAAGAGGCGAGTGAGGAGGAGGTACAGGGGGACGAGGATGTGGTGGTGTTTAACATTCGGAACATGCATGAGAGGGCAAAAGAGAGGGAACGAGAGAAGGAGGGTCTCTCTTCTCCTTAGCCCCCTGCCCTCCAGGAGTCCTTTGCAGTGTGGGCCCATGTAAGTCTTATATCTTTGATATCCTTTCATGTGGCTCCATCTCCCCGATCACCATGTTAGGCCCTGGATCAGCGCTGTCCAGTGAGGAGAGGTTAACAGGGGATAGCTAACATCTTAATCCAACTACAACAACTGCACTAAACAGTAATGGTCCGGGGATTGTTGCTCCCACACTGTTCTCAGCCTGTATGTATGAGAACCGGTTGTGGAGACATGGTGTGAGTTTAATCACAGCAAGTGGTTTGCTTTAATAAGCTACAAACCCTTAACCCAACTTAAGGTGACTGAGCTATATCACCATGGTGGACCGATCTTCATTGGAACCTGTAAACACTTTTGATAAAATGTGGATCCAATGTGGTCAGACTTCTTAAATTAAAACCAGGTTCAATTGGTTTGAAAAGTCAACTTTTATAGACGTATAAACATTTATGCTAAGGGCCTGTTTCAAATCATGTGAGTACAGTAACAAGTGTTAACTTCAAACCATATTGAACTAAACTGTCTCTTGATACCAAATCACAAACGAAATTTTATCTTCTCCACCAAATACTTAATATTTAATATGCATGAATTTGTTTTAGTAACAAAAATTCTAATATAAACTTCATGGTAGTATGAGATGAAAAGTCTGAGGATCAATAAAGTCATCAGGATTCATTCTGTTTGGTGGACGAAACCAACAGATCGACATTGCGACCCCTAATTCTAAAGCAATAGCTAAAAACTAAATATCAGATCTTTTAGTGGTGGTTGTTTTCTGTCTGAAAAAATACACAAACAGTTTTCTTTTACCTCTTTTGTGTGTGAGTAGTGGAACCAGCTTTGTTTGTGGTGATGAGGCCCAGGTTTCATCAGCATGCAGGGGGCTGTTTGAAGTAGTGTGAGTTGAAAGACAGGGGGTCCCTGCACCAACACTCACCTGCCTATACAAGAGCGCTTTTATGTGGTTCTTCTCTGTGGTTCTTCTCTGTGGTGTGTGTGTGTGTGTGTGTGTGTGTGTGTGTGTCTGAGTGTTTGTGTGTGTGTGTGCGTGCAAGTATGTGCGTGTTCTTCATCATGCCAGCCTCAAATGTCTGGTTATCTGTAAACCCAGATGACTCTTTTGATTATCTTGTGTCAGTGCTGTATTGTTATTTGAATGTCTTTATGCCTCTCTTTCTAGTTTTTTCTTTGGACTTAATCTTACACTACCACTGAACGTGGTTTCAAGCGAGAGGGGTGGTGGTTGTGATGTCTTATCAAGAGCTTCATTGTTTTGTTTACAAGACAAGAGGTTATAATATGTCCCCTGGATGTTATAGAAAAGGAAAGCGATAGAAAAGGAAGTAAACAATCACTATAAAGTCCACTATATAGTTAGTTCACCATTTTTTAGGGCTGCCCAAATGTTTAGTGAACTCTTTATACTCTATATAGTGCACATATTGTTTGCCACAATGTTTTGTGCAAAATAGTTTACAACTGATGGTCACCATCCGAGCAATATATACCATCATGCATTGTGCTCGCAGCAGGGAGATGAGAGGAGGGAGGGCAGCAGGAACCCAACCTGGCACTAATGGACATAAGAGCAGAGCCGCACAGCACAAGCTGTGGCAAACAAGTTTATTTCTACTTTTAAAGGTGATCATTCACCATGTTCTTTACATTCTTAATACTGAATGTAGAATAAAATTGTAAATTTACTGGTCGTTGTTGTTCGTCATTATCCTGCGACAATGATGTAATAACAGGCAAAGAGAAATTGTTGCAAGTGTCTGAAAATGTTTTTTTTTCTTTTGCTGATGAGCTCACTATATAGTGTTCTATATTGAACACCCAGAATCAAGCCAGTCATGACGTTTGATAATGAACTTGCATTTTTCTGCTAGATTCATAAGTAATCCTGTAGCAATATTGGCAATAATAAATAATAAAAAGCTGGGGTTAGTAATCCTTGAAAAGCTAGCACGAATAGGCTACACATGCAACTGATACATCCCATCCCCCCCCATCAGTTCTCTCGTCAAAGCCACAAAACACATGAACGTGCACTGCTAGAAGCTGACTCTTCCGTGACTCGCTTGCCAACTTCTGACTATCGTCTCTGCTTCAGTGGTGTGAGCCTCGCCGGCCAAAGACTCCAGTCACGTGCACTGAGAACATGGCAGGGTGTGTGCAGGCAGGCAGGTCAGTTAGTGATGGGTCCAGTATCCAATCAATTAAATTGGTTCCAATGAAATGATTAGTCTTGATTATTACACTCCTGTGAGGTCCCAATCAACAGCTCTTTGAAATTTCTTTTTATGTCAGATGACTTTGGCTATCGAGACGTAACGAGAACAAACCCTACCTTTAATGCACTCCCTCTATCACACCTCCTCAGCACCCCCCCCC